TCATAATTGGGAACATAAGGATTATATGTGCAGAAACTATTTTCTAAATTTTTTTACGTTGGATTTATATGATATTTACTAGTCGTGTAAATTTTCTAAAGAATTATGAAACTCATTAGAAAAGAAATATGTAACTGAAGATGTTGAAACTAAGAAATTTGTTGTGAGAAAATTTCTAGATTTTAAAATGGATGACATTAGAACGGTAGTTAGTCAAGTTGAAGAATTACATATTATAATTCATGAAATTATCGCTGAGAGATAAAAAATCTATAAGGGTTATCAAGTGTCTGCTATAATTGAAAAATTACTATATTCTTGGAAAGAGTATAAAACATTTTGAAGCATAAAAGAAAAAAAATATCATTAGAGGATTTGATTATCAGAATTAGGATTGAGAAAAACAATATAATGGCAGAACATAGGGAGAGACCACATTTGGATACATAGGCCGAGAGCGGGGGTCGGGGCGTGGGTGGGTGGGAGAGGATTACATTTTTTTTTTCAAATTTTTTTTTTCTACTTATTTTATTTTTACTTCGACAAATTGGTGCGATCAATAAAAATAAATGAAGAGAAATTAGGTCATGATGCAAACATTGACGATCCTTTTGAAAGTTATTCATCCAAAATTACAATTGTGTAGGTGCCTAAAATGAAAAATTCTAAAATTTCCTCAAATTTTATTTTCTCTTTGGTACAAAGAGTTGTAAGACAGCCAATCCAGTGAACTTGTCACATGGGCTAATAAATATAAAAAAGCTACTTATACAAAAAAATTTTGACAAAAAAGTTGACACACTCTACCGGTCAGGGTGTTTGTCACCCTAACCCGGTACACCAAGCAGGGTTCTAATAAATATGCTTGCCTACTAAATTGGGGTCAATTTATTATTATGTTTATTTTTATTTATGTGTACTCTAATTACGTCTTTGTGAGATTTTCTTCTTATGATTTGCTATGTATAACTTAATAAGAGCTTTGCCGTTTTTGGCTATTGTCAATAAAATTTGAAATTTTTTTTTTCCAAATTCCTTGGATATTTTATATTATTTACAAATTATTTAACTTTTGATTATCACATTTCCAAGTATTCACGTAATTAATGAGTATCCAGTGACGCTTCATCTTTTTCACGGCATGATTTCAAATCCCGATGAGGTTGGAAAATCAAATTTTCTAAGTTTGTGTTTGATATGCTTGATTTTTATCACTGTTATTAACAATTTTTATGCAAAACGAAGTCAAACGAATGGTATTCGGTATGGTAATTTTTTTAAATTTAAAAAAAAAAATTGGTAATTGGAACAAATTCTAGATCCAATGGTAGAAAAAAAAAATTCACTTTAATGGATAATTTCCATAAAAAATGAAACTAAACGGATACCAAACTTTCAACATTTTCCAGGTGGAAAATTATACCGATCAAACACAATTAATTACAATTCCTAATAAAATAATTTTTAGACAATTCAATTCCCTAAAATTCATTTTCTTTTCACCCATTTTCCATTTTCGCAATCAAACAGACACTAAATTTCTTTCTTATTTCTTAAGCTAATACAATGAGTTCATTTAGGATGCACTTTCCTTATTACAAGCACTTCTTGTGTAGCGAAGTTATTGGATCTAGTGCACCCTTAAAATCCCAACATTTTCAAAATGTAGT